CCCACTCGTACTCCATATTCAGGGGCTCAGGAAAAAGTGGATAGTTGACAATCAACGGGAAAGCAGAATTCCAGGTTCTCTTGCCTCTAAGGCTTACGCTCAATCCTGGGAAAATGTGGCAGTTTAAAAGCATCTTGACCTTTAGCACAGAAGCAATTAGATCTAATTCTTAAAATCAAACTTCAAATATTTGATATCACAATAAAGTCCATAATTCAGAACAAAATCTGATTTTAGTGAAATATAAAATCAACTGAAAGACAGTAATTATCCCACTTCCTGTTCAAAGGCATTCATTCAACAAGTTATCATCAAAAGCCAACCAAATGCTAAGCACTGTTCCACGCAATGAACAAAAATGTTTCCCTCATTAAGAGGAGGAAAAGTCTACTATTATTTAAGACACAAGCAAGCAAAAAACAAAACAAAACAAAAACCTGATATTGAAGTAATCCAACAAATAAAAGCCTATTAAACCCAATCCAACACTTATTTTTGATAGCTTAGAAGACTAAAATTTTCACCCTTCAGAGCTATTCTTCTCAAAGAATATATTCACATCTAAATTTTAATTGTTTATAGTTTTATTGCAAAGTATACTATACTGTCAATCATCCCTCTATTCCCTCCAACTCCACTTGTCTTAGTTTTAAGTCCCCATAATATCTAACCTAAGACAGAATAGACTACAACTTATCTCCTCTCAATTCCTTCAAACCATATCCCACATCGCTGACAAGTTATCTCTAAAAATATATGATGGTACTTACCTAATCAAAATTTGACTTCATTGTTCATTCTCTAAGAACAAGAAATTAAAATTCTGAACAATAATAGACCAGGTCGTTCACAAATATAGATCTTTTCCTTATGAATCTAGCTATTCTATATAATGAAACAACACAGAGGAAAATACTATTTTCCTCAGAAGAGATGGGGAAGAAGAAGCTTTACAAGGGAACACCAGAACTTTGCCTTCTCTTTAATCAGAACAGAAATGAAATTTCATTTGAAAAAGGTATAAACAGAGACAGTTCAGAAAGAAAAATACAAATGGCTGTTTGAGAATATTAGATGTTCAACATTGCTCATAATGCAAATTAAAATAGTAACATTTTTAACTGATAGGCTAGCCAAGATTAAAACAAAAATGCTGATAATATACTATATGAGTAGATATAAAGTGGCACTCTTATACACCAAAGAAAATAAGTATAGATGACTAAAAAGCCTTTTTGGAAGAAATTTGTTAACATTAATCAAAATTTAAAAGGCATGGACCTCCAGAGCCTGATATTTCACTTCTAATGATTCATCCCACAAATGGCATCCACTGCAACACTGTTTCTGAGAGGAAGGTATCAGAATCAAGGATCACCAAAGGAATTTCATTAAAAAACTGGTTTTCATCAAGACAAGGGATGATACATACACATCCGATGCAATGCAATGCAATACAATGCAGCTACTAAACAGGAGTGTAAAGAATGTGCTAACATGGCATTATCTTTAAAAATACATTGCTACTGAGTTCTGTGGCTCAGCCTGTAATCCCATGCTTTGGGAGGCCGAGGTGAGTGAACTGCCTGAGCCTACGAGTTTGACACCTGCCTGGGCAACTTGGTGAGACCTCATCTCTACAATAAATCAAAAAAATTAGCCGGGCGTGGTAGCGCGTGCCTGTAGTTCCAGCTACTTGGAAGGCTGAGGCAGAAGGATCGCCGGAGCCCAGCAGGTCGAGGTTGCGGTGGCCAGGAGCAGTGCCACTGCACTTCAGTCTGGGCGACAGAGTGAGACTCCAACTCAAAAAAGAAAAATAATACATTGCTGAGTTTGCCACATCTGCATTTCTAACCATTTTCTCTGTGAGAAGGGATATATAAGAACATGCCAGTTTGTCTGTGAAAAACATCTCTGAAAGAACACACAAAAAATTGTTACAAGTATTTGCCTAGGGAAAGAAGGACTTGAACTCAGAGGTAAGACAGACTTTTTTTTTATACCATATATCATTTTGTATTGTAAGTTTTAATGTGTTATTACTTTTTCAAGAGACTAATATACAACTTTTAAAAAATAGATAGAATATATTCCATTTCACCACCCTCTCAATGGAAAAATTTAAAAAATTTAAAATTACCTTATTCTTTCTTTCCCAAGCAGGACTTTTACTTTAATAATGCTAAGACTTACTCATGCCAGCCACTAGCCCATCGTCTTTGTTTCATTTAAGCCACACTCAGTATTCAAGGCTTACAAAGCTCATAACTAATGCAGCAAATCATCAAAGAATCAGATTTAATAAATCAATTTCAAAGTCCATGATATATTCATTACATCATGCTGTCTCCCTAAAAGCAAAAAAGGGCAAAATGCTGTCGAATTTATCCTTCTGGTCCCAGCAACAAGGACACTGTAAGCACTCAACAAATGTTTTCTAAAAAAATAAGGAATGCATGTCAGAAGGAAGGAGAGCCCCTAAAAGCTTTAATAAATAACGTCATTTCTATCGTGGTTATCTAGGAACACAGAGGTACAAGACAATGAAAAAAGGCCACACAATCACTTTTAGACAATGCAGAGAACAATGGGATAAAAGCCTGGATTACAACTATGGATGAGGACTTTTCTACCTTTGAAATAATACATTAAAGTTGTTTTGAAAAAAGAAATGGTGATGTCTTCTACAGAGTAACTTAACTATTGAATCTAAGAGAAGTCTGCTAATAGAATTTAATTAGTTCTGGTCTTATATGGCTTTATTTTCTCTCTCAATATCTAGCAGAGTGCTTTCTACAATACAGAACAGAAGGAGTATTTTAACTCTTGGTAACAGCAACACTTTGGTGGCTCATAAGAGGTACTCAATAAATGTTTATAAAAAAAGGGACTGAGGGGAGATTAGATAGGAATAACGTCTGATAAAGTAATAAAACATTTATCAAAGCTTAATTTAGTCACCTGTTCTAAAAAGTTAACATAACCATTAAGGGATTCAATTACTACAGGTTGAGTATCCCTTATCCAAAATGCTTGGGACCAGAAATGTTTCAGATTTCAGATCATATCAATTTTGGAATATTTGTATATTAGTATGAGATATCATGGAAATAAGACCTAAATCGAAACACAAATTCATTTATGTTTCCTATACACCTTAAACACAGCCTAAAGGCAATTTTACACAATATTTTAAATAATTTTGTGCTAAAACAAAGTTTTGGCTTTGTTTTGATTGTGTTCCATCACATGATATCAAGTGTTGAAAAAGTTTCAAATTTTGAAGCATTTCAGATTATGAAATTTTGGATTAGGGACGCTCAACCTGCACCACTTCACACATATTCTGTGAGGGGAACTATTTGAATTTCTCTGTCTAGCCAGGCTTAAAATTCATAAAAAGCCATAAAATATGGACGGTATTACAAATACAGAGCAACATTTAATTACATATGATCTTACATCCTGAAGGAGTGAAATAACTTACTTAAAATATCCTCAACTTAAACTGAGACATAAGTATTAATTTTTAAAAAATGACTTAAATTACGAACCTTTTAACCTGGTATGAGAAAAACATATAAAACACAGAAGCTCATTTCAAAAACTTGATTTCATTTTTTGCAATCTATGGTTAAGTAGAAGATGAATATTTTACAATTGAAGTAACCATGAGTAAATAAATATACAAGGGAAAAATGGTACTTTTTATAAGGGATTGTTTGACTAAGACAAACGGATATTAGGATAATTAAGGTTAGAAAGTTATTCAAAAGCTTTCCAATTTTAAGCCTCTTTTTATTGGTAGTATATAGATAAACTGATAGAAGCTATTTCTTCTTTTTTTTTTATTACAAGTAGACTTGCAGCTGTCAAAACTTTTCCCTGAACTCTCTATATTCTGAATATATTCACAAAATAATGAAACCTTTTCACTGAAACCCTGTCAACTATGATAATATATAAGTATTACTGTAGACTATCAGAAGAAATAAGCAGAGATAGGGGATTTATAACCAATGCCTAGGATAAATGCACTTTAGGAATTATATAATTCAAGTTACTGTTGTTCAGTTACTAAGTAGCTTACATCTTAAAATCCACAGTCAGGGTCAGGTGAAGTGGTCATGCCTATAATCCTAGAGCATGGGAGATGAGGCAGGAAGATTGCTTAAGGCCAAGAGTTTAAGAACAACCAGACCAAGCAAAACAGTGAAACCTCAACTCTATGGGGAAAAAAAATTAGCCAAGCATGACTATTCGTGTACATAGTCCTACTAGCTACTCAAGAATCTGAAATGGGAGGAGGAAGGAGGACCACCTGATCCGAAAAGTATGAGGCTGTAGTGAGCTAGGATCATGCCACTGCACTCCAGTCTAAGCTACAGAATGAGATCATGTCTCATTTAAAAAAAAGCCACCATATATTATAAGACTTTTTAAAGAGATTCTTGCCAAATGAGAGAAAACTTTCATAATCTACACTATGTTAATATAACAATTTCTCCTTCTACAAGACAAAAAAAATTTAACCAGAGTTTTGATTAAAAATTCTAAAAATCTCTCTTCTTATCTGTGCTTAGGGTATAAAAAACTAAAAACAAAATACCTTCATTAATCTCATATATAATTACTAAGATGATCTCTTTCATTTTTCATTAAGACAACTAAAAACTAATTACACCAAATAAATAAGTTAGTAGTCCATAAACTTCAAAATAATACAAACTCTAGGCTCTGTTGGCCTTTTATATAAGTACAGTCCACTCTTTCCAAATTTTAACTAGCTTCTTTTCTAATAAGATATCTTCAAGAAGGCAAATCTTACAGAAGAATCTTAAAACTATTTAATCATTTGAATGTGGCCCATCATGAACTATTTAAAGTTGGAAAAAGAAAATACCTGGTTCCTTATGTACCTTTCCATTATTTCCTCAATGAATTAATTTTACCTTTTAAATGAAATTTTACATCACCTTCAAAACTATCTGCAAACTTACAGTGTTAGTTGGATCTTCTTGTAAAATTCGATCATATAGTTGTATAGCATCATCATATCTATTTAAAAAGAAAAATAAACATCAAGAATCATTACATTAAAAATATAGTGATAAATGGTAAATACAGAAAAAAGTCTAAACTCACAGGGCTTTAAATGCAGTTATAATTGCTACCCAAGTCTTCCTATCTTCACTTGAAAGTTTACTAGTCTGATTTTTTTAAGAAAAAAAATCATGTATACAGTACTTACAGAACAATTTATTTCAAAAATAATATTGATTCAATATAGCCTGAATACAAAGGCAAAAACTAGCCACACCGGTTAAAGAGACAGAGCAAGCATCAGGACCAGACTCAGATATGGCAGAAATATTGACATTAAAGACTGAAAATTTAAACAACTATGTATATGTTTACAGCTCTAAAGGAAAAAGTGAACAAGATGCAAAAACAGATGGATAATGTAACTAGAAAGATGGAAACTCTAAAAAAGAATCAAAAGAAAATGTTAGAAATAACAGTGTAACTAAAATTAAGAATGCCTTGATGGTCTTGTCAGTAGACTGGACATGACCCAAAAAAGAATTAGTAAGCTTGAAGAAATATCAATAAAAACTTGCGAATAGAAAAGACAATAGAACAGAATATCCAAGTACTGCGGACAATTACAAAAGATGCACCATATATGTAATGGGAATACTAGAAGGAAAATAATGAAAGGAACATAGGAAATGTTCCTTTGTTTCTAATAATGACTGAGAGTTTTCCAAACTTAGAACAGACACAAAACTACAGATCCAAAATAAAGCACAATAAATAGGGGGAAAAAAATCAATACCTGCACATATTATAGTCAAACTGTAGAAAATCAAAGACAAAGAGAAAATTTTGAAAAAAGCCAGAGGATAAGAATTATAGACTTCTCTTCAGAAACAACACGAGCAAGAAAAGAGTGGAGTGAAATATTTAAAAGTGTTTTAAAGGAAAATCAGCAACCTAGTATTGTTACCTGAGAAATCCTCCATTAAAGGAAAAAAAAAACAGACTCTCAGATAAACAAAATTTGAAAGACTAAGCTTCCAGTAGACCTGCCTTGCAAGAAATAAAACCTGCTCTTCAGAGAAAAGAAAAATATTGGTCAGCAACTCTGGTCTATATAAAGAATGAAAGAGCATTAGAAAATGAATAAATGAACGTAAAATAAGATCTTTTATTTTTCTTATTCTTAAATAACCATATAACAGTTTTGTTCAAAAGAGTGTGTTGAAAATATAGTTATAAGTGAAAAAGAGAAAAGTTAAAAATATTCTGTTGTAAGGTACTTGCACTACCTGTGAATCAGTATAGTATTTGAAAGTAGACTAGGAATAGTTGTAAATGTATGCTGCAAGTGCTAGGACAACCATTTTCCAAAAATTTAAAATGTAGTATAACTGATATACTGAGAGAGAAAAAAATAAAATCCTATAAAATACTCAATTAAACAGAAAAAGCAGAAATGGTCTAAACATACCAATGAAATGAAGACACCATAAAAATGGGTTGAAAAACATGACCCAACTAAATGTTGCCTACGAAACCCGCTCTAAATGAAAATAAAGGTTTGACAGAGTAAAGGTAGAGATGGAGAAAGACATGCTATAACACTAATCCAAAGAAAGCAGAAATAGCTGTATTAATTTCAGCAAAGCAGACTTACAGAGCAAGAAAAATTATCAGGGATAAAGAGAAGCTCAGATAATTATATTATATACGGGGGTCATTCTCTAAAAAAAAAAATAACAATCCCAAATATTATGTAATGAACGCAGAGTCAAAATGAAGTAAAAACTGCAAAGAGAAATAGATAAATCCACTATTAGAATTAGAGACTTACATACTCCCTCATCAGTAGCTGACAGCCATAATAGAAGATAAGATCATAGTTGAACTAAATGGCACAATCATCTAGAATTCTGCAAATAAAAGTTTAAAGCAGATAGCAAACAGAAAAATGGTACACTTAAAATTTAAAAAAATCTAAAAGTATTCTTAAAATTTAAAAAAGAAAAACAATTAACTTAAAATATTCCTACTGTCTAGAAAAAAATAAATAGCATCACTGAGATGTTGGAGTAAAAAACAAATTCTCAGGACACAAAAGTCACTAACCACTAAAAAAAAAAAGATAAACTTAACTTTGTCAAAATTAAAAACTCCTGTGTTTTCCTTAAGCACTATTAAGAAAATAATTACACAAGCCAGAGAATAAGAAGAAATATCCATAGCACAAAGTTCTTTTATCTGGAATATATGAAGAATTCCAACAAATCAACAATAAAAAAATTTAAAAATTCATTTTTAAAATGGGCAAAGACTGAAACAATACTTCATAAAGAAGTTATTTGAAAATTCAATCAGAAATAACAAGTTTTTCACCAAGAAATGTAAATTAAAGCCACCATGAGATAGTATTTCATATACACTAGAATGCTCAAAATTAAAAAAGACTAACACCACCAAGATTAACAGGCTGCATGCACTTTTAAATGGGATCACACTGTTCACAAGATTTGGTTACCTTTCCATGGCTTCAAATCTCATGCCTGTTAATCGCTTGACTCTGTGACTGCCAGGAAACTGTCTTCTTAACTCTTGAAGACAAAACTGAAAATATAATTGGCAAAAACAACTTGAAGAGTAGCAATTACATTACATATGCTAAATGGGCTATAAGGAATTGCCTACATAGTCTTCAGGGTATCTTCAAGAATAATTTCATTAGTGTCAACTAATAACAGAAAGTGAAATTAATCAGTATCAAATAATGAGGTAAAAAGAAGAACTATGAAATTACAGTGAAGGCAACAATTGGTTCTCAAAAATTAATTATGCCCTTAACCAGAAAAATGAATAAATTATAAGATCTACTGATAACTCTTCAAATATTATAGTATTTCTCCTTAAAAACTGTTTCCAAGCTGGACTTGGTGGCTCAGCCTGTAATCCCGCGCTTTTGGGAGGCTGAGGTGAGTGGATTGCCTGAGCCCGTGGGTTCGAGACCCGCCTGGGCAGCGAGACTTCATCTCTACAATAAATTAAAAAATCAGCCAGGCATGGTAGCGCATGCCTGTAATTCCAGCTACTTGGAAGGCTGAGGTGGAAGGATCGCCAGAGCCCAGCAGGTCGAGGCTGCAGTGGCCAGGAGCGTCCACTGCACTCCAGTCTGGGCGACTGAGTGAGACTCCAACTCAAAAAAAACAAACAAACAAACAAAAAAACTGTTTCCATAATGTTTCAGGTCCCTACTTAAATGCGAACAACAGCTTCCTGACTTTTTCTTCCTAACTATGGCATAAGCATTCTCCTGGTAAGAATTAAGTTCTTAGGTAGACATCTTAAGTCCCTAGCAAATAATACCAGCACTGTTTAATTATGCCCTTTTGAAATCGTTAGCCTTTCAATGCACATATACTAAGGTCGGAAAATACAGACACCAAATCTATGGAATACCAATTTCTTTGGTCAGGTATCCATAATTCACTTGTCAACTCAACTAAATAAATAATCAAATATTTATCGAGTAGCTAAGTTCTCAGCAACATATGAGGTATTAATAATCTTCAAAGTGCTAGAAATGCCAAGGATTACAGAATTGGTTCATTCAAAAATCCTAAAACATGAGTGACCAAAAAAAAAAAAAAAAAAGCCTCTGACTGGTGATAAAACTATTAACAAGTAACAAAACTGCTTTTAATATGATCTGGAAATACAGCTTCAAAATCTGACTGAAAATTTGCCACATTAAGAAAAATATTCAAATTAGTCAAAAGTAAAGGTATGTTCATTTATTTCTTTGACATCATGTAAAACCGCATTACTTGGTCAATCAAGCTAACTATATAAAAACCTCAACCTTTTAAAAAAAATCATTGTGCTATAAAAAAAGTTATTTAAATTGATCTACTGCTTTACCTATCAATATTATCTAAGGTGACCTCCTGTTATAGGCTGAAAAGAGGTCATGCTGGTTATATCAGAATAGTCATTTAGAAAAGACTTAAAAACTTGTATTCTTTAGTAGCTGAGTTGGGTTAAATGTAAAAATTGCTTGAACTCAAAGGTACGATTTTCCTATTCCCTCAGCCCTTCTCCTTTCCTAGCATGGCCTTGCTCAACTGGCCAATCTTATCTAGTAAGCTAATGCTGATACTGAAGAAGAAACAGCCTGCAAGTAAGACCACCTAATAATTAGGAGAATGGTCCAAGGTCAAAAATTCTGTATTTGAAAGCCTGGTGTGAGCATTGTCCACCTTCCCTCCATCTGTGAATACAAGGACATCAGGCTGTTAGGTCAGAGTTCTAGGAATAGAAGATTGTTATAATTATGTTTTAAAACAATTTAAAGCAATCATTTTAAATGTTGTGACTTTCTCTTACTTCCAAATGTTGCAACTGTCTGCACCTTTCTGTAAAGAACATGAAAAGAACATGCTGTAAATTGCAGAATGTTATCTAAAATGTCAGCATTACCAGGAGACACTGAATCACGTCAGTGCTTGTGTATAAAAAAATTGTTCATGTAAATCTTAAGTCACGCTAAAACTGCACATAAGTTTTGAACTCGTGGTGGGTAAAGGACTATGAATTTTAAGTATAAATACGGAAATAAATTTGTGTTGCTCTGAGCGGAATTTTTGGTTAAGGATGCCAACCCATCTCGCTATAACCTGGTTATAGAAATTAAATACTCCTTTTTCTCCCATGCTCTGCCTCTCAGCTTTAACTGGTCAAGAGAGGCAGCAGCTGATTATTGCTTGAACCATTCCATCCCTACTTTATCAAATGGTATTTGGCTATTAAAAAAAAAAAAAAATTCTCAAGAGGATATAAAACTGCCACCTCTATGGATATTTAAAAGATTATGACTTGTAAGTTCTGAGTTTAATCCAATAAAGGTTTTGTGGAATGTTTTTACCAATAGCAGCTCCTCCAGAATTACATTTATAGCCAATCTAAAGTGATTACCTTGAAAAGGACAATACTATTTCAGATGTAAATGTTTTCCTGATATTTATAATTTTCTGTTTTTGTGTATTTTCTTCTGGTTTAAATGAGGAGGTAGCATGAGCTAGTACTTAAGAATTCAGAATAATAGGAACAACAGAACAGATGCCTCTGTTTCCTGATTTATAAAATGGATATAATGGCATAACATCAAACACAAATCAACTCAACAAATAATTGTGGAGACTAAAAGCATAGTGTAAGGCATTTGGCATACTGCCTAGCACATGAGAGTCCAAAAATATAGTTATCATTATAGTTTTACTTTTAAAAGCAGTATTAGTATTCTAAGTTATGTTCTGCACGTGTCAAGATTTTCTAATACTTAAGATATATGTTTATAATATTGTATAACAGTATTTAACATTACATACTATGAAAATCATTCAATAAACCAAAAAAGAATTTTTGAACTACATTTCTTATTTTAAACTCCATAATACAGTATAAATCATCTACTAAGTAGATGAATTTCAACAGCTAATTTAATCTTTTCAATAAAAGCAGGATATTAAATATTTACTTCTCAGGATTATTAGTTGTAAGTAGATACTGTGCCCTAAAGTATCTAGCTAGTCCCACTACTCTTAACAGTAGTTAAGAGTAGCATTCAAAACAAGCTATAGAAAGTATTCATTATAAGCTATATACTAAATATTAACTACTGTATATAATTCATGAAGCAAATTAAGTAGAAGATAAAATATTATCAGTTTAAATACCTACCAAAGCCAATTCATCTCGACCATAGTCAAGGGCCGCAATCATCACCTGTTCATATATGATCCATACTAGATACATAGAGAGGGGGGAAAAAACTGAATTAAATATAAAAGTCCCCCAAATAGAAATAAGACTAATAAAAAATCTTCTAGTTTTGGATATTTCACGAACATTACTTATAACTGAAAACTGATTTATTGCATTACTTCTAGAATTATGAGAATCCATCCTTATATGGTTTCAGCAATGTAAAAACATCTGAATATCTTGTAAGGTTAAAATCTCCAAGTATTTGATACTTTTACTGTTCTAAAAGATTCTTTATGAAATACATTTTGGCCACATCAGAATATCTTTATGAAATATATCTGGCTAGACATTTGTCAGCCGTAAGATAAAAATGCCTATTTCACAGCTTCTTACTACCAAGCAATTATAAATTGTAAGTTATAAATTATAAATCCTGACAAAAAGTCACAGAAAATATTGAGATGACCAGCAGAAAAAAACATACATAAAAAGTTTTTTAAACAAGTAACAAAAAAAAGAAAAAACCATAAATGAGGCAAGTGCTGAGCCTGAGCATAGTAAATTGAAGAACTTACTATCATCTCCAAGTTTAGAAGCATATTCATTAATTAATTCTTCTCCAACTTCTACAATTTGCTCACTATTTCGTGAGTTTTCTTCTCTCCATTTTCTCATTTTATCTCGCATTTCTGGAACAAAAAAAGTTATTTATGTATACACACACATCTGATAGATGTCAAAACTGACAAGACAAAAATCAGCTTTTTAGTTAAAGAAAATAAACACTAATGTCCAGAGACTGAATCTGCCAGCCGGTTCTTGGATTTCCTAGCCTCTAGAACACTGTGAAATCAATTTAGATACTTGAATTAAATATTTGTTGAACAAATAAGTTAAATAAGCAATGTGCTAGGCCTCCTAGGGAATAAACAGAAGACAAGCACAAGATTCTCACTACATTTACATGCATGAGTCCTTACAATTTAAAGCCTACCAAAAAAAAAAGATGAAAATATATTCCCATTAAATTTAATTTACAAAAATGGCCGTACAAATCATTGCAAATGATAATTTCTTTCTACCAATAATTACTTGTACTAAGACCTAGAAATCAGCTTGACTCTCACTTTGCACAGGAAGTAACCTTGAACTATGTCTTAAAGGTTAAAGAGTTCTTCAGGCAAACAAGAAAGTAAGTTACTCCACACAGAAGGAACTACTGGTAGTTCCGAATTTTAAAACACAGTAGAATTAGGGCAGTAGAATTAGGGAATGAGAGGGTAGGATATAAATAGAGTGATTTCTTAGAAGACTTTTATTTCATACTTGAAGTCTGATGCTAAAAGTATAGGAAACAACCAAAAAATGCTGAGCAACATGATCAGAGCTATATACTACGAAAATTACTCTGGTGCAAAAAAACAAAAAATAAAACAAAAAACAATCAGAATGTTGTTTTATATGTCAATTTTAAAAATAAATAAATTTGAAACAAACAAAAAAACAGAAGCTAAACTAGAAAGACATAAAAAATTAAAAGAAACCAGTCATGGAAGATATAGTCTAGCGGCAAGAACATAAACTTGACAGACTTGGTTTGAATCTAAACTCTTCCACATGACCTCACACAACTTACCAAATCGGTGCTTAGCCTTCCACATCTATGAATGGAGATAATAATATCTTCAGCTCAGGGATATATAATTAGGATTAAATAAAAAATATATAAAGTTCTTAGCAGAATAACTGGGGCACAGTGGGAACTTAGAAAGCATTAGATCCAAGTTAATGGTCACAGTCAACGACACAGTCTAAGTAAAATACATAAATGGTTCCAAGTCAATGACACAGTCTAAGTGAAATACATAAATCAAACAATGGAAATAGATAAAGAAAATGGAGAAGAAAATTAGGTACAAAAAGTTATGTATGAACTATTTTATTTCTTTTTTAAAAAGACAGGAGGGACTCTGGAAGGATGGTGGCCACTACAACTGCACAGTCAACAGCTACAAGACCTGCATGGTACCATAATCTATACAGAATAAAAATAAAGGAAGCAATAAGTGGTATCTGATGGATCTAGCAACAGAAGAACCCCCAAAGAGCCAGAGAGCACCATGAGCCAATATGTGAAGAGCATCTGAAAAGAGGAAGGGCTTTGTGCTATGTAATCCCAGATAAATGCAAGCAGCCAGTGGTAAGAAGGACTGAACAGGCTGGAGCAGTTGAGCCTCTGTGGATTCTTAAAATTGAGAAAAGCTCATTTTAAAACAAGACTGCAAACTGAGAAGAGCGGGATCAAAATTCAGCATCCTGATGACAACAGGAAGGGTGATATATCCATGAAATTTAAGAGCAGGAATGCTAGACAAAAACAACAGAAGAAGGAGTGGAGTTTTCTGAAGTTAAAATTTTACTGAACCACACACCTCATTTTATAATTTTAGGAAAACAAATGTCATGTAAAAAAAGAGCAACAGAAAAGTATCACAGTTAAGTTACCCAAGAAAAATAAAATAAAACAAAGTGCACAAATTCATTGCTATATACATTGAAGGTAGGTCAGAAACACAAGCCTGCAAAACCAGTCAAAACTATAACATACTATTTCAACATGAGCTAAAGGGCATTAAGAAAATGATACAGAACATAAAGTAACACATAAATCTGAATCAGAAAACCTCAAAAATGAGGTGAGAGAACTCAGAATCAGAAGTAAAAGAAAAATATTTCAGAAATTTAAACTAGAAGAAATACAATCAAAAAAACACAGGATGAAAAAGACCACATTCTTTAAATGCAGAAGAAATAAAAAGATGAATAACGATTTGAAAGAATATGATGGATATTAAAGATAGGTAAAGAATATCCAACACACAGAGAAAAGGAGTTCCTGGAAAAGAAAATTTGAGCAAAGACACAGAATATTAAAAAACTATAATTCAAGAAATCTTTGGTATTGGAAAAGATATGAATCTACATACTGAAAGAATATGTCAGGTAGTTGAGAATATTAACCCTGAAAGATCAATAGCAAGGAATATACTAAAATAAACATTACAGGAAAAAGGACTTAAATTACAAGGGAAAGAAAACTAGATGATTATTAAACTCTTCCACAGCAATGTTTTATGCCAGAAGAAAGTTCATTAACATATTTAAGGTATTCAAGAAAAGAAAATATGAACCAAAGATTTTCATCCTGGCAAAACTCAGTTCCAAGTGTGAAGTGCACAAAATGTGATCAACATGCAGAATTTAGAGAATATTGCTGGGCATTTTCCTGAGAATCTACTAGAGAACAGATTTTAAACAATCAAATGACTAGAAAAAAAATCAACATAAAGACTTGTGATGATCATTAGTTACATAGTTACTTGAAAAACTAAGAATAGATAATGGCTTAGAGGAAAAAGGCTTATCCTCTGACAATGCAGCTATGATTATGAAGAGAAATAAGAGAAAGAATCAGAGCTGTTAATGTTTGAATGTTTGTGTCCCACCCAAAATCCTATGTTTAAACATAATCCCTAGTGCAATAGTGCAATAGTTTTAGAAGGTGGAGCCTTCAGGAAGTGATTAGACCATGAGGGATCCAACCTCATGGATGGGATTAGCACCCTTATAAAAGAGATAAAAGTAGTGAGTTTGCCTCCTTCTATTATTTTCCATTTTTATTTTAGATTCAGGGGGTACACATGCATGTTTGTTACATGAATATACTGTGTAGTGATGGGGATTGGTTCTCAAGTGGCCAATACTGAACCCTACAGAGCTCTTCACCTCTCCCTTGTTGGTGTATCCAGTGTCTATTATTTCTGTCTTTGTCAGTCCCCCTTTTTTGCCCTTCCTTTCCTTCCATCACATGACACAGCGTTCAAGATGCCATCTGAGAAGCAGAGACCAGGTCCTTACCAGAAATGGCCAGCACCTTGATCTTGGACTTCCAGCCTCCACACGATGAGAAATACATTTCTGTTCTTCAAAGATTACCCAGTCTCAGATATTTTGTCACAGCAACACAGATTAAAACAGAAATTGGTACCAAGAAGTGTACTATTGCTATAACAAAAATGTGAAAAATGACTTTAGAACTGGGTAACTGGTAAGGCTGGACCATAAAGGGCTGTTCTGGCAAGGGTTTAAAAGATGAGGAAAGTTATAAGGGAAGCCTGAATATTAGAGATTACTGAAGCGGTCACAATCAGCATGCTGATAGGAATACAGACCATAAATATCATTCTGATGAGGTCTCAGACAGAAATGAGAAATTTCTTATGGGAAACTGGAGGAAAGGCCATCCTAGTTACAAAGCGGCAAAGAATTTGGCCAAACTGCGTTCATATCCTAATACCTGTGGAAGAAATAATTTAAGAGCAATAAACTAGGGTATTTGGCAGAAGAAATAGCTAGGGCAAGTGTTCGGGGTGTTACATGGCTTCTTTTGATGACTTATAGTAAAAGAGGTGAAGCAAGAAAAAAATTAAATGAAATATTTAAAGCCAAAGGGAAGCAGAACTTAAAAATCTGGAAAACTGTCAGCCTGGACAGACTGTAAAGAATTAAAGGCATGTATTTGGGAGAAAACACCAAGGATATTGCCAAGAGAATATTTGATAAGGAGATCAATATGGATGAATGGAAGCCAGATGTTATCCACCTAGACAATGAAAGAATGACTCTGAAGACATTTCAGAAATATTTGAGTAGAACAATTTCAAAGGAAGTGCCCAGGGCCGCTTTAAGATTTTGCTCCTCACATTCTGGTGTCGTGTTCCTCAGTTTGGGCTGCTGCTCCAGAATTCACAAAAGTTAAACCTTGATAGTGCACCCTGAGTGCACCTCTGCAAGTGCACAGACTACAAGAGAAACAGTTACGGATGCCCTGACCTAGAATTCAAGGGATACATCAGAGAACCTCATAGCTCAAGCAGAGAACTGCCACACAGGCAAAGCAACCACAGAAATCCCCCACCAGGGCAATGCCCAGTGGAGTCACAGGGTCAGGATCACTAAAGAAAGCCCTCACTAGGGTAATGCCTAGTGGAACAAGGAGGGCAGGGCCTTCCCAAAGGCCTGAGAACTATAGAGCAATTTGCATGCAACTCTAGTCTGAGAGAGGTGCAAACCCCAACCCACAGAGCTGCAGATGGGTTACACCTAGCAAAGCTATGGGGCAGAGTCCCCTGCAGCCTTGCAGACCCAACACTTACTCCAGTGCATCCAGAAGGTAAGGTATAGAGTCAAAGGAAATCATTCTCAACTCAAGATTAAGATGGCTGACAAGAGGTAACTAGAGAATGTTTCTCCTACAAAGTAAACTAAGAGTTTCCTCAGCACCCAGAAAGAAACATGACCAGCACCACAGCCCACAACTCATCAAAGAAGTGATAACAAGCACACAGTGCAAAAAAAGAAGAAAATCAACCAGCCTAGGCCAGAACTACCCAGACTCTCCTCTGGATCATGGCACAGACTCCTTGGCAGCCTCCAGATGCAGTGAAGAAGGTGAATGAGAGGACTTGAGTCCTGTGCTCCTGCCACAGACTTGGAGGGCCCTGAGCCTTGCGGAAGTCCAGTACCTCATAGTAAACTGCCTTACCCACAGCTGTAAGCTGCCAAAACTCATATGGAATTGTGCAGGGGGAGGGAAACCTGAGCAGCTCCAGCTGCCATATCCCAGGAA